GAGCCCGGTTTTTTCCACGCCGACGTCGCCGATGCATCATCGGCGATGAATCGGCAACGCGGCGCGATTCTCCAACCCCATTTGGGAGGCCCCCAGCAAGCCGCGGCGCGTGTTCGCTACGCCCATCAAACATTTGAAGAAAATCATCCATCTGCATTGGTTTCATACTGTCGTGGCCTTCGGCCAGTGCCGACGATCCGGGTCGCTTGGGGCGCCCCCCAGACTGGGCGGCGACACTTCGCCGGCAGACACTCGCGCACACGCTCGCAGAAATTACGCGCACACACGCACACACGCGCGCGCACACACACACACACTGCACACACCCACAGGCAGACAGACAGACAGACAGACAGACAGACAGACAGACAGACAGACAGACAGACAGACAGACAGACACACACACACACACACGCACACACACACACACACGCACACACGCACACACACACACACGCACGCACGCACGCACGCTCGCACGCACGCACGCACGCACACACGCACACACAGACACAGACACAGACACAGACACAGACACACAGACACACAGACACAGACACACACACACACACAGACACACACACACAAAGACACACACACAAACACACAGACACACACAGGCACAAACACAGACACACACAGACACACATAGACACACATAGACACACACGCACACACACCGCTGACACACACACACACATACACACACACACACACACCACACGCGCGGCACCTCCGCAGGCACATACACACGCACATGCCGGCAACACACACCCACACACACCACGCACACCGCACAAACATACACGCACACCACACAACTGACGCGCATTTCACCGCCACCTTCGTCTTCCCCCCATTTGCTCCCCGTTTTCCGCTCCTGTCCCGTTCCACTGCTCTCTCCCTCTTTCCCCGATTCGAATTTCGCGTGCACGGGCAAACATTCCCCCACGCACGCGCGCGCCCTCCCCCCTTCCCCTCCTTCCCCGGCAGAGCCACCCCGGCAACCCCCCAGAGGCTGAAGTTCAGCCTCGAGGCCGTAGCTGAGGCTCTTTTAAATTCACACGCCACGGACCCCCCCTTGCCCCTCCACAGCGCCATCGGAACCCACCCCACCGGACCCCCCCCCTCTTTCCCCAATTCCCCCTTGTCCACAGGCAGGACGGGGAACCGGACCCCCCCCCACCTCACGCCAACGGAACCCACGACGCCACCGGACCCCCCCCCCCGCCCTGGCAGAGCCACCCCGGTCACCCGCTCCCCCTTCAGTAAACTCACACGCCGAATCGGCGGACGGTGAAGGAAACAAAGGTCGTTGAAGGAACCCAAGAACCTGGACTGGACTCTGGGGGTGTTGTTCTGACGTTGTCTGTTCGTCGAGTTCTATAGCTTCGACCGGAAGAGGTGCGCGGTCGACCCGCGGATCAAAAAATTGTTCGTCGAGTTCTCGTACATCTGGACCTTGGCTACTGTTCAAGAAACGTTTCGAGCGATGCCCATTTCGTTAGTTCTGACTTTTCTTGGCTCCCATCGGCGGCGGGCCTGGGGTGTGTTTATATATATATATATAAACAAAAAACGGGCCTTGACAGAAGGCTCGGGAGTCCCTCGGCCCGCTGAGAAGTGCCTTCCCCGAGTACGAACCACAAAAACTCCGTAGACGGCGCGAGGGCTCTGAGAAGCCCCGTCGCCTTCTGAGAACGCCTTCTAAATCCGAGGAGGAGGAGGAGGAGGAGGAGGAGGAGGAGGAGGAGGACGCGGAGGAGGAGGAGGAGGAGAAGGAGGACGAGGACGAGGAGGAGGAGGAGGCGAGGAGGAGGAGGAGGCGAGGAGAGGAAGAGGAGGAGGGGGGGGAGGAGGAGGAGGACGAGGACGAGGAGGAGGAGGAGGGAGGAGAGGAGGAGGAGGAGGAAAGACGAGGATGAGGAGGAGGAGGAGGAGGAGGAGGAGGAGGAGGAGGAGGAGGAGGAGGACGGGGAGGAGGGGTGTATGTCGTCCCGCGCCGGGCCCGTTCCTTCTCGCCGCTCCTCCTTCGCCGCGCCCGGCGGGGCAGGCGGCGGCCCCCCGCCGGCCCGCCCCGCGCCCGCGGGGCCCCCTGCCGCGGCGGCCGGCGCTGCTCGGGACGCCGAGCCGCGCGCCCCCTCTGCGGGGTGGCCCCGCGTCGGCTGCACGGTCGACGCCGGAAGAGGGGGGCCCAGAGCTCCGACGCTCCACAACGCACGGGGCGCGCCGGGATTGGGCCAGTGTTCGGCTTCCGGGGGCCCTCGCCAGGCCTCGGGAGCGTGAAGGAAGCGGCTCGGGAGGAAACGCCGGCCCTGAGGAAGCGGTTTGGCCCCCCTATAATTGGCCCACGCGTCAAGAAAACCCGAGCGGCTGGATGTTTGGGAAGGCACCCACGTTTACCCTGACATCGTTTTCTTTCTTTGTTATGCCTCTTGGGAGGCCCTCGTCGCCACCGCTGGATGTGCCTTGAAGTTCTGGTCAGAACGCACCTCTGGAGAGGTCCGGGGAGCAGCAGTATCGGGTCCTTCTGGTTTCCCAGGGATCGGGCTGAGGCGTGCGTATGAGGCTCGAGCTTCGAGGTTATCTCAAGCACTCGCCGGTGTCCGGTGGCATTCCAGCCTCGGGGTGCCTTCCGGCGGCCGCGCCTCGCCGAGAGCAGCCCACGGGGATGCCCAGGCAGTTCCCGAGCGGCCGCGGGAGAGCCGAGTTATTGCCCGAAAGCCAAGGAGGAGGAGGAGGAGGAGGAGGAGGAGGAGGAGGAGGAGGAGGAGGAGGAGGAGGAGGAGGAGAGGAGGAGGAGGAGGGAGGGAGGAGGAGGAGGAGGAGGAGGGGGAGGAGGAGGGAGGAGGAGGAGGAGGCGGAGGAGGAGGAGGCGAGGAGGAGGAGGAGGGAGGAGGAGGAGGGAGGAGGGGGAGGAGGGAGGAGGGAGGAGGAGGAGGAGGAGGAGGAGGAGGAGGAGGAGGAGGAGGAGGAGGAGGGAGGAGGGGGGAGGAGGAGGGATATGCCCTCTAGGCAACGTCAGGGCGGGCGGGCGCGGGAGGGGGGGGGACCCAGGAGCGGAGGCTCGAGCTGCGGGGGCCCGGATCCCTCGAGATGTCTTGGCGCTGCAATCTCTTCACAACGCAGGCGTCTTCGCCCAGTTTCGGGCCCCCCCGGGGGCTCCCACACGACCGGTCCGGCTCGGGAAACACGGCGCAGAACGACGGGGCCAAACAAATGTGATTAAACAGAGGTGCGATAAAAAGTCGTGCGGAGTGTTTTATCACACTTGTTCGGAGTTTTTTTATCACACGTTGTTTACCAACGTTTTGTGTTATCACACTTGTTTTTTATCACACAGGCTCTGAGCGCGACATGTCACAACGGTGCAATTCTTCTGGCGACGTGGGCTCTCGTGGAATCTGTCTGACGAGGCTGTCAGCAAATGGGCGGGACTCACAGCTTGACATTTGGCGCGAGCTCTCGCTGCGAACATCTCCGAGGAAGAGGCCACGCGCCAAGACGGCGCAGGCAGCCCACCCGCATGGCAAGGATCGGCAACCCTCCCAGGGTTGCCCTTGCATCCTGGCCTCCTCGGTCCATCCCTGGCCACGTTCGTTGGCCGCGCCCCGCTCGAAGAGCTTCGGAATGGGCGTCCAAGGGCCTTGCATCCTTGTCGCGCATCCTCATGATACGGGCCAGCTGCATTTTGGTCCGCCCCGCGGCGCGGGAGTCTGGAGACGAAGCAAGCAAGCAAGCAAGCAAGCAAGCAAGCAAGCAAGCAAGCAAGCAAGCAAGCAAGCAAGCAAGCAAGCACGCAAGCAAGCAAGCAAGCAAGCGAGTAGGCAAGCAAGCGAGCAAGCAAGCAAGCAAGCAAGCAAGCAAGCAAGCAGCCACGCGCCCAGAACATCGAAGACGAAGCAGGACCGGGACAAACCGTTCCAGAGCGCTCGGGGCCGCTCCAGGAGCGTCCCCCGCAGCGCCCTGCAGCGGCCGCGGCACCCGAGATGGTCAGGAATTTTCAGTCAGCCCGCACAGCAGCGATGGGCAACTTTCCCGAGCGTGCCCCTTACAGCCTTGCCTCCTCGTCGAAAAGCTTCGAATCGGTCTTCCGAGGCCCGGTGCACCCTCATCGTGCGTCCCTGTTAACTATGCGGGCCGACCGTGCAGCTCCGCCTGTCGCGGCGCCGGTTCTGGCCCACCGCGCGCGTCGAGCGACGCGCGGCCCATGCCGCTCGAACGTCCCAAGCCTGTCCACGACTGCCGCCCGCGGAGCGCAGCGGCACGGTTTCCGATCGCAGGGCAGCACGGCGTGTCGACGGGGCCCCCGCGGCGACCCCCCCGCCCCCCGGCGCCCTGGTCCGCCGGCATGCCGCCCGCTGCCCCCCCCCCCCCGCGTGTTGGGCCCCGCCCGCGCTGCGGCTGCCGGCCCCGCCCCCGGGTGCGCCCGCGCCGCCGCCCCGCGCCGCTGCCAGGCGCTGCCCCGCAGCCCGGCCGCCCCGCGCGCTCCCTGCGGCGCCGCCGCGTGAGAGCACCGTCCCCTCCCCTCCCCCCCGCCCGCGGCCGCCATTCCTGCTGCTCCTCCCCCCGCGCATAGGCGAGCCAACCCGCAGCTCCGCAGCCGGGGTTTTGCCCCCCCCCCACGCGCGAGCGGGTCGCCCCGGCCGCGCCGCGACGGAAAAAAGAGAAGTGCTTCTTCGAGTGGCGGCAGTTCTGGTCAGTGGGAACGGGGCGTGGGGGCGTCGCCGAGTGCAGATCACTGCACCAGGTCCCCCCGAACTCGGGCCTGGCGAAAGGGGGGGATTGGGAAAGGGGGGGTTATACGAAATTTGCTGCATGCGGCCGGTTTCGGCCTCACCGAGGGCCCACTCCTCGATACATAGCCGCCTCTGGCGCCGGGAGGCACCGGGAAAATCAGCTACGTGAGCTGATTCTCAAACCCCCCCTTTGCTATCCCCCCCTTTCGCCCGACCCGACAAACACAGTCCTGCCCACGCCCGACCCCCTCCCCTGGGAGAGGAGCCGCTCGGCGTGCGGAGCTGCTGCGAGATCGGCACCGGGGCGCGCCGCAAGGCGCCGCGGCCGACCGCCCCGCGGCGACGGGCCGCCCTGCCCCGTCCGCCGCCGCCGGCTTCGGGGGGGCGCTCGCGCCGTGCGCTCAGGCATGCCGACCCAGTCGTGAGCAACAGCGGGGCGGGAGGTTTTTCGTCGCGTGCGGCCTGTCATGTTGGCCCGTCCTGGGCCCGGGGGCCGTCAAGAACTGCCCGGGGTGGAATCTTAGCCCCGGGGGAAGGGTCGGGCTTGTTTCTCTGGACCGCGCACTGCAAGACTCAATGCGGAGATGCTCATCTGCGTCTCATAACTCCGGTCACGTTTCGCTGATGTACTCCGTCTGTGAGCATCTGGGTGTGAGCAACAACAACAACGACGACGACAGTGACGACTTCAGTGACGTCCTCCTCCTCCTCCTCCTCCTCTTCCTCCTCCTCCTTATCCTCCTCCTCCTCCTCCTCCCCCCCCTCCTCCTCCTCCTCCTCCTCCTCCTCCTCCTCCTCCTCCTGCTGGACATCGTTCAGGAGAGACGAGGGAAACACAAGTGGAAGAGCGAGGGCGAATTCCTCTTGACGTTTTTACTGTGGCAACTCAGGTAAACGCGCATGGCGTTGTTACGCCCGCTGTCTGGCGTGCTGATCGCGTCGCTTGGGGTGCCCAAGCGCCACGCCGGCTAGATTGCGGCAGCCAGTTGCGCGTGGCTCTAGCGCAGGCGAATCTGAGCGTGAGTGATCTGAGTGTGGGCGACTCAGAGTACGAGCGATACCGGTTACGATCGAGTCTGAGAGCGAGCGAGTCAGCGCGAGCCGGCTTGAGTGCGAGTGAATTTGGGCGCGCGCGAGTCTGAGTGTGAGCGTGATGAGCGCGAGTCTGAATCTGATTGAGCCTGAGCACGTGGTAGTGTGAGTGTGAGCGAGTCTAATGTTGGGCGAGTATGACTGAGTCCAGGTGTGGGTTAGTTCGGTTGCTAGTGAGGTTGAGTGTGCGCAAGTATAAGTGTATAAGTGTGAGTGGGTCGAAGAACGAACGCTTCTGAGTACAAGTGGGTCGGAATACAGGCGAATCTGGGTGCGATGAGTGAGTCTGGACGAGGGGAAGTACTAATGAGCCAATCTGGGTGAGAATGCGAGCGTTTGAATGAAGAAAGAGGGAAGGAGGATGAGGAGGATGAGGAGGAGGTGGGTGAGTGAGTGCGCGAGGAGCACGCAAGTACGAAGAGAATTCCGGAGGGGAGACACTGGCTAACCGCCTGAGAAAAAAAAAACACACTTTGGGTGCGAATCCTGAGTGTCCCCACCCCTGGCGGTTTCCTCTTGCGTTGCCCAAATGCTGGACCACCAAAACAGAAAACTTGGGAGGGCAGAAGCAAACAATCAACAAACCGCTTCAGACATCCCTACAAGCTGGGCTCGAACGGGCGAGTAACATACCTCCTGGCGGCTCCCCCCAGGGGTGTCCAAAACCACCGGGGGGCATTACGCGTCGCGTCTCGCTGGGGAATTTTGTCTGTGAGCATCTTGGTGTGAGAGCGGGTCACAGTAGACGACCGGCGCAGCAACGACGACGGCGACAGTGACAACGTCAATGACGGTATGAGGGGTGCTATGAGGGAAGCGCAAGTAGAACAGCGAGGAAGCATTGGACCGCCAAGCGGAAGAATTTTGGGTGAATTTGAACGTGAGTGATCTGAGTGTGAATGACTGCGTGCGAGTGAACCTGGATATGGTTAAAAATGAGCGTGAATGAGAACAGGCTTGAGAAAGTCTGATGCGAGCGGGTTTAGGTCTGCGTGAGTGTGAGTATGAGCGACTCTGACCGAAAGTGAGTCTGAGTATGGACTATTGGTGTGAGTGGGTGTGAGAATGAGTTGATGAGTGTGAGTCTGAGTCTGAGTGCGTCTAGGTACGAGTGAGTCTGACTACGAGTGAATCTGAGCGTGGGTAAGTCTGACTTCGAGTGAGTCTGAGTGTGGATAAGCCTGAGTGTGAATGTGCTTGCGTATCAGTGTGATGAATACGACTTTGAATATGAGTGAGTCTGAGTACGAATGGGTTTGAGCATAAGTGAGTCAGAGGGTGGGTTAATCTGAATGTGGGTATCCAAGTCTGAGTTAGTCTGAGTGTCAACGCGCCTATGTGAGCGAGCCCTACTGTCAGTGAGTCTAAGGATGAGTGAGTCTGGGGAAGAGTGGGTCTGAGCACTGTTGAGTCTTAGTGTAATGAGTGGGTCCGTTGAGGGAAGAGGTGCTGAAGAGCAAGTCTGAGTGCGAATGCGTCTGGATGACGGAAAAGAAGATGAGTAAGATGAAAAAAACGGGGGAGGTGAGTGAGTGAATGGGTGAGGTGCGGAGGCGTCTAGGTAACACAAGTCCAAAGACAAGCCTGTGGGGCCGAAACAGGCAAACCGCCTGGGACATCCCCACAATCTGGGCGCGAGCGGGTCAGAGAAATACCCCTTGCCTTGGCAGCGTCCCCCTGGGAGTGCTGAGACCAGCGCCTCGCTTGAGACATCCTCCACATCTGCTCCGAATGCAAGAGATGCTGGACACGCAAACAGGCAAGCCGAGTGAGGCCTCCCAACAATCTGGGCGCGAGCGGGCGAATGCCACAGTCCCCGGCGCCCCGGTGCTGAAGCCAGCGCCTCACCGTACACATGCTTGCACATTGTTCGGGAAGCAAGAGATTCAGGAGGAAAAGAAACACACACACACAATTAATCGTAGACTCCCCAGAAAATATGGGAAAATATGGGAATTGGGGGGGAAGACAAAAACCCAGAAAATATGAAAAAATATGGGGAATATTTTTATTTGTGTGTATTTATGTGTGTGTTCTGGGGCCCCTTCAAAACAGGCAAACCGATGGAGACATCCCCAGAGTCTGGGCGCGAGCGGGCTCCGTGTCGTGTCCCCGTGGCGCCCCCCCTGTTAGGAGTGCTGAAGCCAGCGCCTCGCGTGAGACATCCTTGAAAATCAAAAGTAGCCAAAACATAGCCTAAGATATTCAAGCATTGAAAAAACATCGTCCCCAGACTAGATTTTTTGACTACCTGTAAAAATATTCCTCCTGTAGAGGGACAGGCCCGACTTAACCCAAGGGAACTCCTTGTGGGGGCCAGGGCCACGATCTTAACATCTGCTCCAAGCGCAAGAGATGTTGAGCACGCAGACAGGCAAGCCGCTTGAGGCTGGAGAGTCTCTGCGTCCCCCAATCCCACTGTTGGCACCAGCGCCTCGCCTGAGACATCCTCAGAATCTGCTCAGAAACCAGATGATGCTGAGCACGCAAACGAGTAAACCGCCTGTGACATCCTTACAATCCGGGCGCGAATCCTGTAATTAATGTCCTGACCCCTGGCGCCCCCCTCGGAATGCTGCAAGAGTTTGTGAGTCCGAGGTGTCTGAGTGCGTGTGTGTGTGCGGTTATGAGTGAGAGTGGGTATGTGTCTGAGTGAGTATGAGTATGAGTGAGTCTGAGCCTGAGTGAGCCTGAGTATGAGAGAGTCTGAGTGCGAGTGAGTCTGAGTATGAGTGAGTCCGACTGCGAGTGGGTCTGAGTGCGAGTGAGCCTGAGCGTGACTGAGTCTGAGTGTGAGCAAGCCAGAGCTCGAGTGAGTCTGAGTCTGCGTGGGTCTGTGTATGAGTGAGCATGTGTAAGTCTGAGTGGATCGTAGCGAGGAAGAGGAGGAAGAGGAGGAGGTGAGGAAGAGGTTCTCGGAGCCGTCTGAGTAATTTCAAGAGCCCCATTTTCCCTACCTAGGCTCTGCCTAGAAGGGTTCTTACTCTCTTAGCTTAAAGGGGCCGGGCAATGTAACACGCCCCAGGCGGTTCCCCCCAGTCCCCTGGGAGCGGTTCCCCCAGTCCCCTGGGAGCTGTAGCTTTAGCTTTAGCTTTAGCTTAACTTTAGCTTAGCTTTAGCTTAGCTTTAGCTTAGCTTTAGCTTAGCTTTAGCTTAGCTTTAGCTTAGCGTTACCTTAGCTGTAGCTTAGCTTTAGCTTAGCTTTAGCTTAGCTTTAGCTTAGCTGTAGCGTAGCGTTGCCTTAGCTTTAGCTTAGCTTTAGCTTAGCTTTAGCTGAGCTTTACTGCTACTACTAATGCTGCTTTCCTAGGGGCTCCAACTCCTAGGTAGGGTCGCACTGGGATAATTTAAGGAGATCGGGAAAAGACGGGCGCCACCGGGCGAGTGTCATGCCCCCTGATTACTCCCCCGTTGGCGCCCAACTGCCACGACTGCTATATCTCGGTGAGCAGTGGACCACCAGAAAAATGTGACGGAGTCTGTGTGAGGAAGAGCGTGTCGGAGTGAGAGGGCCTGAGCGTGTATGAGTGAGTGAGTCTGCGTCTGAGGCAAACTCCCTGATTGGGTCCGAGCGAGTCTGAGTCTGAGTGAGTCTGAGTGAGGAAGTGATGCGGCTGAGTCTGCGTGAGGGACAATGAGTCTGCGATAGGCCCAGTGAGGAAGAATGGGTCTGTGATGGGCCCCGTGATGGGCGTGAGTGATCTGAGTATGAGTATGTGAGTGATATGTGGGTGGAAAGAGGAAGAAGAGAAAGAGAAGAAGGACAGTCCGGAGGCGTCTACGTAAAAACCAGAACCCCATCATGGGATACGGGGGACATCAAGACTTTGCATATCTGGGAAGATGGGCCGCCCTTTTCTAGGCCTCCCAGGGGTCCGAGCAGATGGGGTCGTAGGATCGTGCCGCCTCGCCGCTGCATCGGCGATGCCGCTCGATGTGGAGCCCGATGCTCTCCACGCGGACGACGCCGATGCAGCGCCGACGTCGTGGATGCACCGCCGATGCATCGACGATGCGGCGCGACCCTCCAGCCCCATCTATTTGGACCTGGGCACTATCTGGAAGGCCTCTACACCCGTCGGCGGCGCGCACGAGCCGGTGCGATCGAGATGGGCACGGGAAAAGGGGCAGGCGAAGGTTGGCAGCATGTCCTGCCCACTCTGAGCAGGATCTGTTGTCGCTGCCGCCGCGGGCCTTGTCCACTTGAGGCAGAAGGCCGGTTGTCCAACCGCAGCCGCTGTCGGTTTGGGCCGACGTCTTCTGCTGGGCGACGTCTGCTGCTGGGCATCGTACCCATGTTCTCCGTACCCATTTCGGGCGTCCAACACAAGTGAGTAGCGCGAGGAGGGGCGGGGCTTCGAAGGAGGCAGGGGGGGGAGCTTCTCAGAAGGCGGGGGGGCCTGCGTGGAAGCGCCAGGAGGCTTCCACGGAGATGTATTGGAAGTTCCGAGGCTTCTAAGAAACCCCCCTGCCTTCTCAGAAGCTTCCCCCCGTCGCGCCGCCCCCGTTTGCGCGCCGCCGCCATTTTTGAGTCGGGCATGCTCTACAGGAGGAAAACTCAAGAATGGTTAACAATAGTATGGAGGCGATTCCCGTGTTCATATATATATATATATGTATATATATATATATATATATATATATATATGTATTATATATAGAACAAGAGTCGAATACAGTTAGATTATGTTGTTTGCCCGACCTAACGCCAATTTCTGGGTGGGGGGCGCCAGCTCCTCCCAAGAATCGAGGTTCGAAGACATGAGCGGTTTGGGGATCGCTGTGAACCAGAACCCTTAAGATAGCCAAAGCAGAGCAGCGCGCGGCGGTGTCATTACACGCGTTTGCCCACTTCAGTTCGGCTCGTGTGGCGTTCTCTGCCTGCTTCTCTGGGGACCTCTAGACTCGCCGTTGGGCCGCGCTGCGCCGAGATCCAGAGCTCGCCGCGAAGCGACGGGAAGGCACAGATTGGATCTGGGACGCCCTGTGGGAGGGACCTCCCGAGGGCCCCCACCCCCGAGGAGCGTGGCGATGCCCCCCCCCCCGAGGAGGAGGAGGAGGAGGAGGAGGAGGAGGAGGAGGAGGAGGAGGAGGAGGAGGAGCCCCTCCTGTGTGGTCACCCCCTTCTCTTGTGCCTGCTGCTCCCCCCGGGTCCTGGCGGGTGACCCCCTGCTCGCCGCGGGCCCGCGCCTCTCTTTGGAGGGTGGCGCTGCCTTCCTCGCCCGCACCCCACGGAGGGGGGGGTGCTCGGAGGACCTCCTCCTCCTCCTCCTCCTCCTCATCCTCCTCCTCCTCCTCCTCCTCCTCCTCCTCCTCCTCCTCCTCCTCCTCTCGAACGTCTCCGAGGCCCTTCGCGGATGCTCGGACGTCCTCGGAGGTCCTCGGAGACGTCCCGGGAGGTCCTCGGAGGTCCTCGGAGGCTCCGGGGCGTCCTCGGGGGCTCTCGGGGGTCCTCGTCGGTTCTCGGACGTCCTCGCAGGCTCTCGGAGGTCTTCAGCGGTTCCTCGGGGGATCGCGGGAATGGGGGGGGAGAGCGGGCGCATGCGGGCGCCGTTCTTCGAGCTGCACGCCAGCGCTGGAGGAGGCGCCTCCTTGGCGGCGTTGGCAGCTGCGGTGTTTCCGCAGTGCCTGCGCCACTGTTTGCGCAGCTCCTGGTGACACCGCCGTATCCCTCCTGGTGTCGCGCCACCCTGGGCCGAGCACATGGGCCGCCGCAGCTGCCAAGTACGCAAGCTGCCGCATGGGCCAGGGCATTGCTGCTGACGCCTCCCCGGGATGGAAACGCATCGCGCCGATCAGCCACAGCTCTGCAAGCCGTGGAGTTGGGATGGAGAGTTTGTGCAACGGACATGTCCCCCTCGTCTTCTCAATGGACACCTGCGATGCGGGGTCAGCGTCGCCGTTCCTCTGATTAGTCAGGGGGGCATTCACGCAGAGATGCGGTATAGAAAGGTTGGCAGCATGTGGCCAGACACGTCTCCAACATTGTCCGTGTATGTATATATAGATAGCTATAGATATATACATACATACATATTTGTTGTTGAAATTATGATATGACCAGCCTGTCACATGCAGAGCATTTCGATTGGCTCGCGGACGCGCACATGCCTACGAAACGATTCGTGGATAAGCCCTTGCACACTGCTCTTCAAGTCTACATGTGCAGACGACGGTGCACATGCATGTAGATTCGCTTTGAGTGCATGGGGCGCGCGTGAGCGCGCTGAGGAGATGGTTTCTGGTGCCGATGGAGCTGCATCCGACCTCGTTGCGCTGATGGCCAGCCCTTGCCGATCTCGCATGGTGGCAACGCCGCAGCGGTCACGAGTGACGCCCTCGTACGTAATCCGCACATCAGGAGACTTTCCTTTTCTTCTTCTGCAAAAGTCACCCTGCATTGATTTGAATTTGCTGCACCGAGTGGTTTCGATGTGTGCTGTCACTGGCTACAGAACCGATGTGTGCAGCAGTGCCTGGTCTCCCTTGTCGAAGCACGTGTCGTTGATTGCCTTCTTTAGTTGCCAAGCCTGGTGTCAGACCATGTTGCTCCGAAGCGCGCACTTCTTTCAGCCTGTGGTAGCCAGCGCATCGAGGCAGCGTCATCGAGGAGCCCTTGTGAGTCTTGACCCACATCACGAGCTGCGTTGCCCTCCGCGCTTCCCCTGCTCTGCCGTGCCTCCCTGATGAAAGCAGACCCGAGCTGCCAGGAGCCCCCGTGCAGACGGTCCCCATGGCACCGCCGGTCGCCACCGTGGTGGCTCGACCCCGCTGGCCTTCGGGCATTGCCACCACAGGTGGGCCCTCCAGGAAACTCGCCACAGCCCACCATCCCCCCTCCTCCTCCTCCTCCTCCTCCTCCTCCTCCGCCTCCTCCCCCCTCCGCCTCTTCCTCCTCCTCCTCCGCCTCCTCCTCCTCCTCCCTCCTCCTTCTCCTCATCCTCCTCCTCCTCCTCCTCCTAATCCGCATCCTCATCCATTCCTTTTCCTTATAAATAGCTCCTCCCTGTTGCACCCCGAGGACAGTTTTTAGGTCGGGCGAGGTGTTTCGCCTGAGACTTCCTCACCATGTATGACCCTGAAGCCTCAGCATTGGCAACAGTTTCACCGATGGAGGGCGGGTCGTTTTCAAAATGTGGCCATCGCCCCAGCGCCGCGCACATTGGTTTTTTAAGTTGCAAGAGCTTCACGGATTGAGGGCGGTTCCTTTTCAAATGCGGCTCTCACCTTAGCGCCGCGCACATTCGTTTTTAAATGTTGCAAGAGCTTCCCGGATGGAGGGCGAATGGTGTTCAAAATGTGACTCTCGCTTTTGCGCCGCGCACATTCGCCTTTAAACTTCCCAGGGGTTTCGCTGATCGAGCGCGGTTCCTTTTCAACATGTGGCTCCTGCCTTAGCGCCGCGCACATTCGTTTTCAATGGTTGCATGCATTTCACGGATATCCATGATCAGCGTACCAGAAGCGGTGTTTTGGAAATATCCAGGATTTATGAGGGTGCAACAGTTAGTTGATTCACGGTGATGGAGTTCCAAGAATGGCGTCTTGGTACGATTCATGATCGTCAAAACGCAACCAGTCAGGTTGACCCGTGGCGTTCGAATCTCGACAATGATGTTTTGGCATGCTTCAGGGTCTTAAATCGGTTGTCTTTCAACGAGGCAGTTCCCCCAGTGGAAATGAGCCCTTGTAGAGGCCTGTGAAGAGGGAGCTTGGAGGGGGGGGGATTCCAACATCGTTGATGACTCTTGGGTGTACACTGGTTCTCCTCCTCCTCCTCCTCCTCCTGCTCCTCCTCCTCCTCCTCCCCCCCCTCCTCCCCCTCCTCCTCCTCCTCCTCCTCCAGAACGACGGCCGTGCGGGTGGAAGAGTCCAGAGGGTGGGGTCATTGTGGTGGCCGTGCTGGCGAATTGTCCATCACTGCGCCCCGCGCCAACTGCCTGGCCGAAGGGCTGGACCATTCCAGAACGCACTGGTCACATTCAGGGGCAGAGAGGGAGGGGGGGGTTATTCCAACATCGTTGATGACTCTTGGGTGTACACTGGTCCTCCTCGTCCTCCTGCTCCTCCTCCTCCCCCTCCTCCTCCTGAGGGTGTGTCTGACACCCTTGAGCCAGGTGGGACGCTGAATCCAACGGCCTCCCCCCGGCAAGGCGGCTCGCTGAGCCTGGGGACCTGCCGCGCATATCGACAGCCACGGGCTTAGGCAGAAACCGGCCTGCGGTCACAAGTTGCTCGAAGCACCAACTTATCGTGCTCGAAGACATGCCGTTCCACGTCTGGCGCATGGGCTTCGAAGTGCAAAGCGTTCATATACAGAGCCACACCTGTTTAGTTTGCAAGCATGTGCGGCATGTTATGTGCTCATCGCGCGCAGTCGCCGTGTACGGTGCAACGCGGGGAAAGCGTGATTGCTCGCATTCCGAACGCAGATGTGAAGCAGATCACGACCTGCCGTTTGCAAATGTGACACTCGAGTGCGCTGTTGGTCTGCCTTGCTCGTTTGATTATTTCTCCAGTTGCTGTCAGGCCCCCAGATGGCTCCCTTGCTCCAGGTCCACGTTATCTCGCCATGTGCTTACTTCATCTCTCTCTCTCTCGCTCCCTCTCTCTCTCTCTTTCTCTTCCTCCTCTCTTCCTCCGCTTCACCCTCCCTCCCCTCTCTATCTGGTTGTTGTTCTTTCTCGCTCTTCCTACATTTGCAGGTCTCCACTAACCATCCAGTGCTCCCTTTCGCCCGTTTCGATTTTCCTGCGATGGGACCGTGGCTCAGGCTTGGGCACTAGAAGGGCGAGGCTCCCACGCACGCTTCTGTCGCCGGGGCGTCGGCGACGACACGCGACCGCTCCAGAACTGGCCGTCCATCGGCCCCGAAGCCTTGGAAGCTCTGGCCTGACGGCCCCCGCGAGCGCTCCAGCTCCGCGTCGGCTCAGCACCCGCCGCTCCTGCACTCCGCCGCGCCTCCCGCGGCCGACCGCTGCGCCGACGGAGAGGGGGGCGGCAAGCACCTGCCATGACCCGCCGCTGGCGCCTTGCAGCCCCCGCGCGGTTCACAGCCTCTCCCCGCCCCGCGCCCGACAGTCCCGGCTCCGTGGGATGCCTTCCCAAACATCCAGCTGCTCCCACGTTGTCGATGCGTGGGCCCCAGAGGTCTAGACCACTTCCCCAGGGCCAGCTTTGCGCCCTGGTCAGTTTTTCACGCTCCCGTGTCGACTTCTGCACGTCTGACCCGGCCCTGGCCCGCACGCTGCGAACCCGGCAGGGCCGCCCTCCTTCGCGACGCACGCCAGCGCGCCTCAGCAAGCGCTTTTGTTTTTCCGGGCCCCGTGACTGGGCCAGGGCGCCATGTGATGCATTGCACAGTCTTGTACGCATTGCGCAGTCGAGTGAATGGATGAGCCTTGAGCAGGAGTTTGTTGAATTTCGTTGTAATCATGTTGCCACGCATTGTCTGTATGTTTCACCTCAACCTGGGCGCTTCGGCCCCTCCCTGCGGCACCCTCGCGGTGCATTCTCGCAGGCCGCAGTTCGCAGTTCGGGCCCCGTGACTGGGGGGCCACACGCGAGCCCTACCCCATGCCCCCCACGACTCCTGAGGCGCCGGGTGGGGTTCACCCCGTTCGGGAGCCCCCGAGCGACGTGAACCGCCCCCCCCCCCCTCAGAAATGGCGGGGGGTAGGGGGCAGGGGTTCGCGTGTGGCCCCCGATCTCCGGGCCCCGTGACAGTCCATGAGCGTGCCCAGGACGCAGGCTGCCCCACGGGGAGGGCCTGCGCGTGGACGGCAGAGGGCATCCCTCCGCCGGGGGGTATTCCTATGGGCACCTCGGCCGGGACGCACGCGCCCCGTTCCAGAAGGATCTCGGGGGCTACCCGAGGAGCGGCACGGTGGCCACCCCTTCTGGTGAGTGGGTGGGGATTGGTTGTGACCGCACGGTCGTCACCCCAACATACGCACCCCAGATTTCGTAACAAAAGGGAGGGGGTCTGGACCCTCCAAGACAAGCCATTTCAGACCTCCCCCGTGGGAGAACCCTCCAAGACATCGTCCCCAGACCCCCCAAGCCCTCCAAGATAGCCTGGAAGAGACCCCCCCCCGAAATGAGACCCCCCTCCCTTTATTACGAAATCTGGAGTATACTATGTGCTCATCGCCCCTCACAGGGGCGACGCGCGCACGGAGGAAACTTGTAGTGTGTGCATCGTGGCGGGCGCTTTCTGGCCACACCGCTAGGGAAACGATCTACTACAAGATGGGTATACCACATGTTCGGGTCGGACGCGCGCCTCCAAGGAGGACATATAGCATCAGTATGTCTCTGTGCGTCCCAAGGGTCATTCATCGAGGATGTCTCGGGCGACTGGGGCCTCCGAGGTCCCAAAACCGTGCGGCGCGGTCGTCAGGGATTCCGAGATCACCGCACGGTCTGCCACCGCACCGCTCTGGGATCCCGAGGGCCAAACGGGGACCCTCCAGAGCGCGGCGCTCTCCTCTCCCGCGCGCCCTCCCCGCGGAAGCACCGCGTTCCGCCGCGCCGTGGCCACCGCCATGGCTCCTCCCTCCTTCCTAACTCTGGTCGGCGCTGTGCTTTACTCGCCTCGCGTGCCGCCCGCTGCCCGCGCACGCCTGCTGGCGACTTGGCCTCGGGCGTGCCAGGCGGCCCGCATGTCCGCCTCGCAGGTGTCCCCTGCGTGGCCGCCCCGACGCCGTTGCTCGGGGCTCACGCTGCCGTGCCCGCCGGCGCGCTGGCGTGGCGCCACAGGCAGTCCTCTTCGAGGAGGCCAGAGGCTGCCTGACGGCATCTTATCTTCCTCCTCCGGGAAATCCCTGGAGCGAGCCCGCCCCCTGAGGGCTACCGCACGTCGTTTCCGACAGGACGCTCAGTTCCGCCGCCTCCCCTTCGCCCTCTTCTGCTGCACCCCGTGGCACCGACACGGTTTGAGGTCGACCTCGTGTCGGTGCGTTCTGGCTTCTGCCGCTTCTTGGCTTGCTGGCAAATATGTTCGGGGGCCTTCTCCTGATGCCGCGGTGGGCACGCGCAGGTCATGTGGTCGCTACGTTGCGTTGGCAATGTGATTCAACTGGGACACTTCGAACGCCCTGTGCTCTTTCGTTGCTCCCATTCTCCACTGGCGACTACCAAGGGCCAGCAGCAGTTGAAGATAACCTGAGTGAGTTGACCAGGTGTACGCATCTGGCGATCATGCCCTCCCTTTCGCTCGCTGGCCCTTTCCCCTGGCAGGCGCGAAGCAGTCCCGCATCTTCCCGCTGCCGTGTGCCTCCCGCGTCGCCCAAGGTGTGTGGGCAGCCCCCGCAGAAGCACTACGCCAACACCCGTGCGGCAGCGTGTGAGTTCCGGCTCGCCGTCAAGGCCGGGACGGGTCAACACCAAGCGACTTTCAGCCTGTGCTGCCGCCGTACCTGGGTCGTGGATCAGATGCCTCTTGGAGGCCCCATTGGGGTCTCGCGCCGCCCGTCACGCATGCGGTCTGGCCCGCTGCGGCCGTACGTGGAGTTCAATATGAAGCGGCTTGCCAACATGGGTGGGGCGCATGTGAACGCCCTCTCTGCGGCCGTAGGTGGAGCTTCCTACAGGGTCAAAGTCCGTGTGAGAGATGCGCCGAACTGGGCGGGAAGGGGTGGGCGCATGTGGTCGCCCTCCCTGGTGCTGTACGTTGATCCCCCTGTGGAGCCACGATCCGAGCGAGAGGCGCGCCGGAATGGGCGGGGGGGGGGCGCGTGCAGGCGCCCTGGTGCCGTGGGTGGAGCTTCCTGGGGAGCCACGATCCACGTGAGGGGTGTGCCGACATCGGCAAGGGGGGTGGGCGCATGCGAGCGCCTCAACTGGTGCCGTCGGTTGATCTCCATGTGGAGCCCGCCATCCGTGTGATGAGTGGAATGCTGGCACAGGCGCGGGAAACGCACGCGGGCGCCCTCACTGGTGCCGTGCATCGGTGGGGTTGCTTGATCGGGGCCAACATCCGCGTGAGGGGTGTGCCGAAGTCGGCAGGGCGGGGGGGATGCGGGCGCCCATACTAGGGCCGTATGTCGAACGATCCGATGAAGGGGTGTACCGAAATTGGCGAGAGGGGGCGCATGTCGGCGCCTTCACAGGTGCTGCACGTGGAGCCCCATCCTGGTGGGCACGAAGCGTGCGAGTGGTGTGCCGAAAGGGGCATGCGGAGGGCAGAGGCAGAGACAGGAGGGGGAGAGGGGAGAGGAACGAGGAGCGAGGAGGAGTGGACGCGAAGCGCTGCGGATCCAGGTCGAGGTCCCAACACCGCGGGGGCGTTTTGGGAGCACTGTTACATTGTAGCCCAACTGAGTGCCGACTGGAAGCGTAGGTGGAGCTCCCCATGGGCCGCGAGCGATCTACATGAAGGGTGTGCCGAGATGGGCGCCGATCCGCATGCGTCTGCGTCCACTGAGACTCCCCATGGGCACGCTCATCGTGAGGGGCGTGCCGAGATGAGGGCCGCTCCGCATGCAGTCGGGCCCGCTGAGACCGCAGGTGGAGCTCCCTATGAGGCCACGATCCGCGTGAGGGGTGCGCCGAAACTTGCTCGGTGTGGCCATGCTGGCGGGCTCACCGACACCGCATGTGGTGTTCTTCATGGGGGCTGCGACACACATGGCTGATGTGATGTGTGCAGCTGGGCGCCGCCCTGCATGCGGCCGGGCCCACTCAGACACTGAGACCGCAAGTGGAGCTCCATGCGGGGCACCATCCGCGTGAGGGGTGCGCCGATCTGGGCGCCGCCCCGCACGCGTGCGGTCTGGCTCCCGCGTGGGGGGGGGGGGGGGGGGGGCCGAAGTGCGCGCGGCTCCGCATGCGGCTGGGCCTGCAGCCGCCGCAGGTGGAGCTCCTTGCGGAGGCACGGTCCGCGTGAGGGGTGTGCCGACACGGGCGGCGTGACGCATGCGAGGAGGAGGAGGGGAGGAGGAGGAGGAGGAGAGGAGGAGGAGGAGGAGGTTGGAGGAGGAGGAGGAGGAGGAGGAGGAGGAGGAGGGAGGAGGAGGAGGAGGAGAGGAGGAGGAGGAGGAGAGAGGAGGAGGAGGGAGGAGGAGGAGAGGAGGAGGAGGAGGAGGAGGAGAGAGAGGGAGGAGGAGGAAGGAGGAGGAGGAGGAGGAGGAGGAGGAGGAGGATTTGTTTTACCTCTGCGCTGCTCAAAATCCCTCGTGCGGCACGCCCTCGAGCATCGCGAAAACCGCGAGGAAGAAGCCGAAAGACACGAACAGCACGAAAGACACTCCGTACCGGAAGCCACCATCCGACAGGCAGACTTCGAGCAAGGTCACTTCGATGATGATCATTGTTGGTGGCGCTCTGCGTTTGGATCTGGCGGCTTGATCGTTGAGGAACAAAGCTGCTCCTGCGAGAAACTGAACGGTGCACCACGAGGAGGCGAAGGCGCCCGCTGCTCAATGCGAGGCAGCCCCCTGCGCTTCTAGGAGCCCGTCGACTCCTCGCCCAGACCACAGAATACCGAGCACGGCGAGGCGGCGAACTTGAAACCCTGCGACTCTTGCACGGGGAACTGCTCGTCGGAAAGGTGCGTCACCTCGTCCACGACATCTGCTATGACGGACTCCGCATCGTCCACGCCCACGGGGGAGCCCTCCAAAGGCTCCCAAGTACCAGGGGCAACCCCGAGCACGCACACGGAGGCGGATCCCGTGCTGCCAGCCTCCTCCAGCGTCGAGGGCAAGGCTTTCTCCACAAAGTCCGAGCAGGCATCGTGCACCAACGGTAGGGACTCGCAGACCTCCCAGAGCCCAGGTTAGACTGACGGGACCGTGGCCGAGCTTGCGTCGAACTGGTACTCGAGCTCCTCGTCGCCGCCGCCCATGTCGCCCACGCCGCGAGGCACGAACACCTCGGCGTCCGCGGAGAGGCTGGCAGCGCCACGACCCACGTCGTCCCGTCGCACTTCGAGGCGGTGCCCACCCTGGGCCTGGCGAAGCAAGGCAGCGTCCGCCGCCGCCACGTCGATGCCCGAAGCGTCAGCGTGGAGTGCGACGTTGCGCCGCAGCCTCTCCAGCCACGCAGGCGGCTCGCCTCGAAGCATCGCCAGCAATGCGGGAAGGAGCGCCCGTAGACGCTGCGCAGCCTCCGCGTGGCCGACGACAGTAACCAGGGCCGCATCCGCCGCACGCAGCAGCCCGTTGAGGCGATCCACCTCTCCCGACAACTTGAGGGTCGCCCTGTCCGCCGAGGCGCGAGCCCAGGCACGGCGTGCCTTGTGCTCCGCAGCAAAACAGCGCCCTGGGTGCCGACCAGAGGCTGGGCGCGCATCACCCGCGCCCTCCCGCGCCATCTCCTCAAGCACGACGAGCGAAGCCAACGACTGCAAGCGGGAGGGACATGCCGAGCCAGCTTGAACAATAGGGCTGTCGCTCGCTGTTGAGCGGCTTGAGCCAAAATGGCTACGGAGGAGGAGGAGGAGGAGGAGGAGGAGGAGGAGGAGGTTGGAGAGGCTCGGTGGCCAATTGGAGACGTCTCTGGCTCTCTTGGCCGCGGAGGAGCCCTTCTGGCACCGCCTTGCAGGGCATTTTGAACTGCCTCGGAGGGCCCGGGAGATGCGCCAGGGAAGCTCGTCGCCAACCCCCGACAAACGGCATCCTGGGGCCCCGGGGAGGGAGAGTACGGTCAGGAGTGGAGCGACACGCCATCAGCTTGCAGGGCGTAGCGTGTCGCTGGTTCCGCCGCAGCGACACCATCAGCAAAGTTCCCGACCCCGACCATAGGGGGAGAAGGACAGCCAATCATCTCACACACCTTTTTCAATATTGAAGACGATTGAGGGCTTGAGGACAGTCCACTCAATTCGGCGGCGAGCGAGGGGGGGAAATGAGAACAAGAAGGCCTTCTCGCAGGGCGGGGGGACTTCTCAGAAGCCCTCGCGCCTTCTGAGAGGTCTGTTGTGTCTTCCAGGGAGGCTTAGAAAGCTCAGAAGGCCGGGGAACTTCACTTCCGAGCCTTCGGAGAAGGCCCGCCCCTCCTCGCTTCCGCCTCTGGGCTCGCCGCCGATCAGAGGTATGCGGGACGGACGGTGGTGGATCAGTGGGGGAAGGGGAAGAGGAGGACAGCAGCACCACAGAGAGGAGCGGGTGGATGTGAACGTCTGGTGCCGCTCTGCGGTGCCTTGCTCTGCTCTGCGCCTGCCCTCAGTGGGCTTGGGACACTGTGCTCCGCTACGTTCCTGGGGGGGTGGGGAGCCCGATGGTGCCACGCACAATCCCAGACATCCGGCCGCCCCAAGTTTTGTGGATGCGTGGGCCTCGGCGGTCCAGACCACTTGCAGTCACCCCGCATAGTAAGGGATGGGTAACCTTCCCAAGGGTACCCTTGCATGCTTGCCTCCTCGGTCCATCCTTGGCCACTTTCGTTGGCCGCGCTCCGCTCGAGGAGCTCCGAAATGGGCGTCCAAGGCCGTTGCATCCTTACCGCGCATCCTTAGTACATGGGTCGACTGTACCCGGTGCCGGTTTTTCGTCCCGAGTCGGTTTTTGACGCACGCCCCCGAGGTCCGGGCGAGGGCCCACGGAGACCGAAGCAAATCCTAAAATTTTGCTGTTCAATTTTTTTGTTTCGGAGCGTCGGATCTCTGGGAAGTTGTTTTCTTCATGCGTGTGGCGACCAGCGCGCAGCGGCACGGGCACCCGGCACCTCTTGGCACGAGGGAGGCGGGCCCTGGGCCTCTGGGGGGGGCGTCCCGGGGGGCCGGCTGTGCGCCCTGGGCGCTGTTTCCCGTGGGCGGTCCTGGGCGTCGACCGCACGCAGGAGTGGCCCCTTCGCCGGAGTGGCCTTGCGTGCGGGCTCACCGTTTGCGCGGGACAAGAAGATGACCACAGCCACTGCTTCTTGTTTGCGCTGCCTTCCAGCCGACCGAGAAAGAAGCAGTGGTGGTGGTCATTTCCCTGGTGCCGAGCTCAACGAAAATGACCACAACCACTGCTTTGTTTCTGCGGGCTGGAAGGCGGGAACAAAAGAAAAGCAGTGGCTGTGGTCGTTTTCACGTCCCGTAGTTTGCGCGGAGTTATATTCGCGACTCGCGGTTCGCGATCCGCGATTCCTCATCCTGATCCTCGTCCTCCTCGTCTCCCCGAGGGGGGCGAGAGAGCGCGAAGCTCGACTGCGCGTAAGGGTGACCCTTCGCTGGAGTGACCCGTCGTGCGCGCTCACCAAGGGGCCCCCCCCGATCGCCGAGCGCGGTGGGATGCAGTGGCTGATGTCGCGCTTGGATCCGGCCACCCTGCGCCCCCCCCCCCAACCCGCGCACTACAGAGGTCACTCTCTTGCCTAGTGTCACTCCCGCGTGTACAGTCGGGGCGTTGACCTAAGGAGCCCTAAATAAGGAACGAGGCCCCTTTTTTTCCATAAGTTCAACTTCGATTTCCCATCGAGAACATAGGGAAACCTGAGGCCAGCTGTGAAACACTTCAGGAACGCGGAGCCCCTCCCCAACGAAAAGGGTTCCTTCTTCAGGGCCCCGACTGTAATCATCCGACGGGGGCCCAAGGGGGGGCCCCGAGGGGCCGAGCGCGGCGAAAGGCGTCAGGACCACTTTCCCTGGGGCCTCCTCTGCTTCACGAGGAGCTGCTGCCCGGGACAGGCTGGCCCGGCTTGCTTCGCCCCCGCCCTGTGGCCCCGACCTGCCCTGCGCGCCCTCGCCGTGCCCTGCCTCGCCGCGGCTTTGCCTTGCTTTGCCCCGCCATGCCCGGCCTGCCTCACCTCGACCTGGCTTTGCCCTGCCGTGCCTTGATCTTCGCCTCGCCTTGATCTGCATCGCTGTGGGTTTGTTCTGGCCAGCAAGTCTTGGCACTGCCAGGCTTCGCTCCCCCACGACACCTCACCGCCCATGGCTTGGCCCTGCCCCACACCAGTTTGCCTTGAATTACCTGGTGCTGGCCCAACTGCCTTGACGCTGTGACAGCGTGGCAGTGTAGGGCATCGCGGAGGTACTCACCGCACCTCGCATCGCGCATCCCTGATGCTTCTTAACCTATCGGATGTTGGGGGGACCCAGAGGTGAAACGGAACGCCCCCCCCCACCGGGAAGTCGATGGCGGTTTCTCTTCTTGTCGCGCGTGCTGGCGACGCGAAGTTGCACGATGTCCTCCCACAGTAAGGCACAGTTCGTGTCCGCGTGCGTTCTCCCCCCTTCCCTCCGTGGCGGCCGTGTGCCCGCCGGGTTGTCCAGCCGTTATATTACTATTGTCCAGTGGCTGTCCAGTGGTTGTGCGTTGTTCTCTAGTTTCCCAGCGGGTGTCCCATGGTTGTCTCATGCGGTTTTCTCACCGTTGTCCTTCGATTGTGCCGTGGGTGTCCCGTGGCTGTTCCTGCAGCGACCGAGGTCAGAGCCAGGCGCCGTGCACAGACGAACGTGTCTTCGAGCCTGGCTCACTCAAAACTTGCCCTCGTACATTTTCGATTGGACGACGTCTGCAAGTATCGCGAGCGCCATGCCAGCCCTACCACCACCAGACAGCCCAACTGGGGCCAGGGCACGAGGATCGCGCCGCATCCGCGATGCCTCGGCGAGGCGGCGCGATGCAGAGCCCGGTCTTCTTTTTCTCTGGACGTCGCCGATGCGTCGGCGATGCGATTTGCAGTCTCTCCGCCCCGCTCATGGTGGCCCCCCCTCCTCCTCCTCCTCCTCCTCCTCCTCCTCCTCCTCCTCCTCCTCCTCCTCCTCCTCCTCCTCCTCCTCCTCCTCCTCCTCCTCCTCCTCCTCCTCCTCCTCCTCTTCCGCCTCCTCCTCATACTGGCCGCCTCCGCTTGCCGTGCCCCGGCGTGCCGCCCGAGCGTGCTTTGTGGAAGGGCGGCGCCGCGGCGCAGCCGTCGTGAGGAGATCGCAGCGGAGGGCTGCAGGCCCAGTCTCGGGTCCGTTTCTCTCGAGAGCTCGGAGGTGCCCAGGCACGAGAAGGATTCTGACCGCGTCGCGTGCCCCCGCCAGCCCGATCTCAGATGGTGTGGTTGCTGGACGACATGGCCTGGCCTCGGTGTGACTGAGCACCGATGCGAAGAGCGGCGGGCGCTCGGGAGAGGCGGGCAGCGGAGCCGCGCCGGAACGAAGGTCGTGCGTCATCGGCCGTCGCTTTCGAGTTTTGTGTTGAAGCTCTGGGGGGCTCTCTGGAAGGTTGAGGTCGCTGGCATGGGGTGGATAGCGAGATCAAAAGTAAGATCGACAGTGAGGTTGATTGTGACGTTGCTTGTGAGATCGCTTGCGGGATCGATGTTGGCATCGATCGAGGAGTCGATCGTGAGACTGCTCGTGAGATCAAAAGCAACCATGTAGTGAGGTCTATAGCGAGATCGATAGTGAGACACGTGGCAAGATCGATCAAGTGTGATCGAACCTGTGAGGTCGATGGTGGGATCGATCGTGTGAGATCGAAAGCGACGACGATAGTGACAGCAAAATAGTCGTCACGCGTCGTCGCTAACTCAATGGCGCGTCACCAGCATCGTCATCATCACACCCATCGCATTTGCCAGCAGTTGGTTCTTTCCCCACCCCACCTCCCAAGCTGGTCATCACCCGAACGGTGGTCGTAGAGGATTAATTCGCCAATCCGACGCGAAGCCACTTGCAGATCGAAGGCTATGATCATCCTCAACCACAAACCTGCTTACCACCAGAAGGGTGCCCTGGTCTTGCATCGACCTGCTCTCGCATTGCGCCCTACTGCTGAACGGTTCGAATTCCCCTCTCGCGTGCGTCCGATGCCTACGCGCCTGTCTGACACGCACTTACCCGCTTACCGAGCTGCCGTGATTCACCTCAGTTGATTCGTCAACCACACGCGTTGCACTTGCCATGCTGACTCAGCTCACCCTTACGCCTGAGACCTCCTGGGGTCGTCCCCCCCCGCGTGTCAACTTCACTCGTTCCTCCATGTCATTCTCCTCCCAGCTCTCCGTTACGACCCTATCCACAGCCTCCCTCCTTCTGTATTTGGTGCCATATTCGCCGTCTCCGCAGTCCCCGCTCCACCATCCTCATGGTGTCGGCTACCGGGCTGCTCTTACCGAGACACCTCGCGAGGCGATTTACGAACAGCACCGTCGCGCCTCCGTCTTCGAGGATATCTTTGACACCGGGGTCGCCTCTGTCTTCGAGGGCGTCCTTACCACCGAGGACCTTCCCCATCCTCGTCCCTCATCTGGGTAGTCGAAGGCCAGACTGTCAGACTGGATTGGGCCCCAAGGGCCAATCTGGCCTGGCCACATTGGAGGATTTGGGTTATTCGCCAGACTGGCTTCGCGTTGGCTCCCTCGCCAGATTGCCCCCGTTTGCCAGATTGGGCCTGCCAGATTGGCGCCAGATTGGCTTCGGCTACCCAGCTCATCCCTCATCATCCCTCTTCTCTTCTTACTCTTTGTTTCCTCCCCCGCCTCCTCCTCTCCAGGTTGTCGCACGGGCATGGCGTGGTCGGGACTGCCGTACAGGCGACGCCCAGAGAGAATGCAGGAAGGGATGTTGTGGAAGGGAGGTCGGCTGGTTCGCCCGTTATCCTGATCGTTGTGTTCCCTGTTCGGGGGAGCGTAAGACCCGGGTTTGCCAGGACTCGGGTTCGCCATCGTTTTTAACGACCGCGACTCGGATTTTGACGAGTAGGAGTTTCGTGGGATGTCTGCAGCGGGAGGCCTCGTCAAAATGCAGGCTCGGCCTCGTCATTTTTTTGACGACCTCGTCGGGGATTTCCGAGTCCCCTGTACCCGGGTCTTACGCCCCCCTGACCTTTGCAGGTCGGAGGCGCGATGCTATCGACGAACGTATGTGTCTGGAAATGTGGAGTTTGTGTGTGCTTGCGCAGATGTTGCGTGTGGTTGCGCTGGGGGTCGAAGCTTGTAATGCTCACGGCGATCTGCCGCGAAATGCACGGTGAGTGCGCGCAGGTTCGGCACCAGCGCCGGTGCTGCTCGATTCAGCACGTTCTGGTGTTGCTTGCTGGCTTGTCCAGCGGGGGAGGTGCCTGCAGGAGTTTGCGAAATGCCCCAGAGGTGAATTCTGCTACCCCGCGCACCACGCTTCCGCCATTCTCCCCAAGCGCGGGACACCCTGGAGTGTGGCTCGGGTGTGCGCCTCCGTCGTGCACAACCGGCACCGCCGACAAGCACTGAGCCCTGCGGGCCCTGGCGCTGGCTTGCCCGCTCCTCAGCCTCGGGCGATCTGACGGCGGGAGCTGCGCGGAGGCTCGGCTTGGCAGTAGGATTTGGGGATCCCAGCCCTTTTTGTTTGAATGCTTCTACGCAGACACGTGCCCATACCGTCGGGGCCCTGAAGAAGGAACCCTTTTGGTTGGGGAGGGGCTCCGTGTTCCTTAAGTGTTTCGCAGCTTGCCTCGGGTTTTCCTGAGGTCTTCGACAGGAAATCGAAGGTTAACTTATGGAAAAAAGGGGCCTCGTTCCTTATTTAGGGTTCCTTAGGTCAACGCCCCGACTGTAATCCTTTCGGGTCATCATTGGCAAATCGGAGGAGGGTCCGCCTGCGCGAATCGATGTCAAGCCGCACAACCGTGGGCTGCTTCTGGGCGAGCGGTTGTCGTTGCGATCACCGTTGCTACTCGGGGGCCCCCCTAAGGCGTGGTGACCACACCGTTCATCGCACGGTTTGCGGACGTGGGTCGTTCTCCGAGGATGCTTCGGGCGACTGGGGGGCCCAGGGTCCCAAAACCGTGTGATGAGGTCCTTCGGGATTTCGAAGGCCTTACGGCCGGTGCCGCCGACCCTGAAGGACGACGACGACGACGACGACGACGACGACGACGACGACGACGACGACGACGACGGCGATGGCGGCGGCGACGGCCACGGCCACGGCGACGGCGACGGCGACAGCGACTGCGACGGCGACGGCGGCGGCGGCGACGGCGACGCCGACGGCGACGGCGACGACGACGTCTCAAACGTAAAAGTCTCTCACACACGCCGACAGGGTCGGCGGATTTTTCGAGGTCAACGCACGATCTGCCACCACACGGTTTTGGGACTCCAAGTTGCTCTTCCTATCCCCCACGCTCGGGCGAGCGGGGGCAGTGAGGTTTGGCCACGGGGGCTCACGGCATCGTGGGTGCAGGGAGGGGGGGGGGAGAAGACGGAGGAGGAGGAGGAGGAGGAGTAGGAGGAGGAGGAGGAGGGGGAGGAGGAGAGGAAGGAGGAGTAGGAGGAGGAGGAAGAGGCAGGAGGAGGGATGAGGACGATGTTCACGGAGGGGCCGGGCCAGGGCTCCTCGGGGCCGTCCAGAGCTCGGTGCCGATGCCGTGCTCAGCAGCACACGGCGCGTTCGGTGGCGTGCTCTGTCTTCGCGGAGCGGCCCCGACGTGTGCCCTCTGTGATGTCGTGTTGGTCACAGTCGTTTGTGCGAGCTCCTCCCGATTTGCGATGCGCCTGGCGAGCAGCCTCATCGCGGAATGCACACGTGTATTATACAGTGAGCGGCTTGAGCAAGGAACAGTTATTTTTCAAAAGCGGTTTGGTCGTTCCTTAGTTTTGCTACCTTTTTGGCGGCGAGCCCCCTGGTGTTCCTTGGGAAACAAAGGGGCTTCGTTCCTTATTGCTCGTTCCTTAGGTCAGGCCGATGACTGTAGAGGTGGCCATACAATCCCGTGCTGCGTGGAAGCGTTCGTCTACTTGTGCACAACGGTTCCCACCTGATCACTGAAGACGCCTGCGGCGAGTCACAGCCGCCCCCTGCCTTGTGGGAACGCCTGTGTGCTGAAGTGCTGAGCGAAGGTGCGGCCATGCTGGTGGACTGCGTGCTTCCCCAGCGTTGGAGAAACCACTGGGGGGACTGCAGAGGGGCATCTGGGGCGCTCTCGGGGCTCTCTTGGTTTTTGCTTTGGCCGTCTGGGCATGCTTGAGGGCCTCTCCAAGCTCTCTTAGGCATTCTTCGGGTGCTGTCCGGGCCGTCTGGCGCATTCAGGGGCCCTCAAGGGGGCCTATCCTTAAGTCGGGCATGTCCCTCTACAGGAGGAATCTTCACGACTAGGAGAATAGTCAGGTGACGATGTTTCGTGCTCTTTTGGCTAGTGTTGATGATTGTTTCACTATGTTATGTTTTAACATCCGCCTGTAGGAGGCCATGCCCGACCTAAGCCTATCTGGACAAATTGTGAGACCTCTTCGGAGCAGTTTTGGGGCTGTTCAGGTGCAGTTTTAGCGACACCTTGGGCTGTCTCTGGTGGGCCGTCTGCCGCGATCTTGGGGTCCTCCTGGTCCGCCGTCGTGGACTTTGGGAAGCCCGAAGAGGCGAGAACCCGAAAGACATTGGAAAGCACCAGGACGTTCAATGGCTTGGGCTTTTGGGGGGTCTCCTGGAGGTCCTCTTGGAGCCGTCCTGGGGCGCCTTGGGGGGGCCTCTTGGCCCTTCGTGAGGACATGTTGCGCCATCTTGGAAGGAGGGGGAGGAGGAGGAAGGGGAGGAGGGGGGGAGGAGGAGGAGGGGGAGGAGGAGGAGGAGGAGGAGGAGGAGGAGGGGGAGGAGGAGGAGGGGGAGGAGGGGGATTGGGGCTACGTTGGGTCCCTTGGAAGGATTGCCTCGGGTTCTCTTGGAGCCCTCTTGCCCGACTTCGAGGCGTCTCGGGGCCGTCGAGGAGCCCATCCTGGGCGTCTCGGAGGCCCCCTTACAGCCCTCCTGGGCGGAGAGGCCACGGGCGATCTGCCGTTCTGGTGGACTCTGGGCGGCCGGCGGGTGGGGCCAGCGGCCATGGGGAACAACATTGTGGACGGACCAAGGAGACGCGTCTCACATCTGGCTTGGGCTGTGGGTCGGGGATCTCTCGGATGTTGCTTGATCTTGGAGAGCGGCAGGGGAGGAGGAGGAGGAGGAGGAGGAGGAGGAAGGAGGAGGAGGAGGAGGAGGAGGAGGAGGAGGAGGAGCAGGAGCAGGAGCAGGGGCAGGAGGAGGAGGAGGAGGAGGAGGAGGAGGATGAGGAGGAGGAGAGGAGGAGGAGGAGGAGGAGGAGGAGGAGGAGGAGCAGGGGCAGGAGGAGGAGGAGGGGTCTCTCGGGGTGCCTCTCGGGGGCCCCGTGAGGGCCCCTCTGGCGGTCTATACTGGCGGCGGCGTGGGCCTCTCCCGGGCGCCTCCCCCCGAGGGGGGCTCTCGGCGGCCCTCGGGGGGGCCGTCGTGGCACAAGAGGACTTCTGGGGGCCAGTCCGGGCTGCCCTGCCGGGGCCCGAGCCACGCTTTCAAAACTCACCACCCACCAAACCACCCCAACCCAACCCGAAGGCCCGAATTTATCCTCGATTTCTAGTGTGGGGGGGTCCGGGAACATCGAAAATTACATATGGAGCCCATACCCCCCCCAACCCGAAATTCGGGTCTTCGGGTTGGGTTGGGGTGGTCTGGTAGGTAGTCAAAAACATAGCAGACATGTGTTTCCATGCCTGTGGCTTCGGGGAAAGCCACGCAGTGGTTCCCAAGGGGCGCGCTGGACCGCCCGAGAGAGCGCTCGGAACACTGGGCTCCGGGTCCTCGAAACAGGGCGCGCAAGATTCGAGTCAGAGAAGTCCCCGAAGGGACCTGAGGGCATTACATTCAGTGCCTGCGCCAAGGTGGCAGATCCATGTGTGTCAACGCTGCTGGGCTGGATTGGCCTGCGCGAAGGAGACGCATGTGGCACCGTTGCGATAGCTAGTGCAGTAATTAGATTCCAGACAGGTGAGTCGTGTGATCAATTTGTCGCCGACGGGCCAGTATTGGTGCCCAGAGCGGTTGCCAGACTGCTTGCCGTCGGCGCAAAAAGTGCGCCCTGGTGCAGACAACCCTAGGAAGCGATGGTCGACCCCCCCCCTCTTCTCGGCGAAGCTATGCGCGCTTCCCGCCTCTGGAAGTGATATCCCGACCCCGGACCCCTCAGTGCGGGATCCCACCAAGATCTTCTGATGCCGGTCTATGATTCGGGGGTGGACAGACCTCCTACTTTGACACGTCGATTAGCGAATTGGCCGTTTTCGGTTCGCGAGAGGGCGTCGCGGCTGTCATTTTGCGGTTCCAGGTCCGTCGGTTTGTTTGACTGGCGGCTCAAGCGAGCCATGGCGTTATTTGATTTACTTTCCTCATTTTTGTTTTTGCGCGTGGAGTGCATTTCTGTTTCGGGTCAATGGACGACGCGAGAGGCCATGCCTCTTCGCTTGCTGGTCGAGCGCTGCGTTTTTCTATCCTCTTCGATTGGTCGCCACTACTCGGGATTCAACATGGCCGCATGCATGAGTCGATAC